GATGTGAAGCCTTCATGCGTTATGCGGAAATGAATCCGAGAAATTTAAGAAGCGGTGCTATGTATTGTCTTTGTTGTAGGTGTAGGAATTTGAAGCTGCTGAGTAGAAATGATATACGGATTCACCTAATAAAATCAGGTTTTGATGAGAAATATAAATACTAGAACTGGCATGGGGAAGGTATCACTGAAGATGAGGATCCAAATATGCATGTTGGTACGTCCGGTGGCTAACGAATAGATGACACAGAAACATTGTTGAATGATATTATTCCTCGACCTACAGAATATGATGTGAGGATGATATTAGAGACAAAAGTGAAGATGATAACGAAGTTGAAGCTGAAGAGGTAGGAGGTGTCGCGAGTGTCGAAAATATTAATGATATGCATTCCTCCGCAGAAATAAAGCGAATAATGGAGCTACTAGAAGATAGTGAAAAGAACTTATATGAGGGATGTACCGAGTACTTCAGATTTTCATTTATGCTGAAACTCCTTCATATTAAGACACTTAGCGGTATGTCAGATAATTATTTTGAAATGCTTCTTGATTTGCTTCGGACTGTAATCCCCGGAGGAGAGAATAGCATACCCCAAACAACTTATCAAGCTGAGAAGATTGTCTCTGCTCTGGGTCGTGATTATAATAAGATTGATGCATGTCTGAATGATTGTATTTTGTACCACAAAGCCAATAAAGACCTTCAAGAGTGTCCGACATGTGGAGTTTCTAGGTGGAAACAGCGCACAAATTCTTCAACAAGGATTACAACGGAGACATGGATAACACAGAAGAAAATTCTAGTTAAAGTGCTTTGACATTTTCCATTGGCTCCTAGATTGCGAAGATTATACATGAACAAGGAAACAGCAAAGAATATGAGGTGGCATAAGGATGATTGAGTAGACGATGGTAAATTAAGACATCCTGCTGATGCTTTAGCTTAGAAGCATGTTGATAAAATTTATCCTTGTTTTGCCGAAGATTGCAGAAATGTAAGACTGGGTCTATCAAGCGACGGATTCAATCCATTTGGGGTAATGAGCTCTGGCTGGTCTACGTGGCCAGTTGTATTAATGCCATATAATTTACCTCCATTACTTTGTATGAAACAGCCGTTTATGATACTTTCATTACTGATACCCGGTAAGCATGCTCTGGGAAATGATATTGATGTCTACTTAGAGCCTCTAATTGATGAGCTAAAACAATTATGGTCTGAGGGTATTTTAGCATATGATGCCCATTTAAAAGAGTCGTTTAGATTACTTGCTAATCTATTATGTACGATTAATGATTTTCCAACTTATGCTAATCTGTCCGGGTACTCTACGAAGGGCAAGTGTGCTTGTCCTGTATGTGGTCCAGAATTTGAAGCTCTTCAATTACCACATAGCCGAAAGAGTTGTTATTAGTTTAATCGAAGGTGGTTGCCATTGAGTCATAAGTACAGAAAATTATCAGCTAAGTTTGATGGCACAGTTGAGAAAAGAATGAAGCCGCGTCAACTGACAGGTACTGAGATCGTTCAATTACTTGAGGGGTTTTCAAAAGTTGTGTTTGGGAAAAAACGCTATTCTAAATTTAACCCGCTCGGAGTAAGAGATTACTTAAAGTTAAAAAAGCCATTGAAGCGTAAGAGAAAGGTCCGTGAAATGCAAGTTGAGGACGAAGTCCAAACATTACCTAGAGGATAGACTAAATTTAGTATCTTCTTTCAGCTACCTTACTGGCAAAATCTTAAAATCCGACACAACTTAGATGTTATGCATATTGAGAAAAATATATGTGATAACATAATATCAACTCTCCTACAAGATGCAAACAAGTCGAAGGATGATCTACGGGCGCGCCAAGATCTGACTGCTTTGAATATCCGAAATGATTTGCAAGCTCAAGACGTTGGCCTTAAAAAATTAAAGTTGTCTCCGTCTCGTGTTATAATGTCAAATGAGCAGATGCAAAGAGTTTGTGAAATTCTCAAATCGGTAAAGTCGCCGGATGGTTACTCTGCTAATATTTCAAATAATGTCCAGGTGCAAGAGAGAAAACTCTTAGGTCTGAAGACACATGATTATCACGTTCTTCTCCATCAATTGCTCCCTGTTGCAATCCGTAACAATATGGATAAAGAAGCGTCGAAGATTATTATGGAGTATTGTGGATTTTTTAGAAAATTATGCTCTAAAGTCATAGATGTAGATGACTTTAAGAAACTTGAAGCCATATTCCCTCCTTCATTTTTACAATTATGGTCCATCTTACCCAGCATCTTGCAAGAGAGGCTAGAATCGCCGGTCCTGTTACTTATCATTGGATGTATCCGATTGAAAGGTAATTTATGATTTTTCTTATATTTATTAATTGTATATGCGTTTTTAAAATTACCGTGCTAATAATTAACTTTTATGATTATAAGATACTTGGGCTGCATGAAAAACAATGTTCGCAATCGAGCTCGTCCCGAGGGCTCGATAGCTGAAGGATACGTGGCTAACGAATGCTTTGTGTTTGCATCACGTTACATGCGTAAGAAGAAAACCACATCTCAAGCACCTCAAAAGGAGAGGAAGCGTGAAAATACCCGAGATCTCTCTTAGATCAAATTCATGCATATGTGTTGGAAAACCTTGATATGTTCGAAGACTATCGAAGGTAACAAATAAAATCTGTAGTATAGATGAGAAATATTCATTTTACATATAGTTTATCAATACAAACTTATATATTGTTTATATAGGCGACATCTGGAGAAGCTTAAGAATGAAACAACCGGTAGGAATGCAGCGCACAATATTCAGAAAAGACATAAGAAAGAATTTTCTGATTGGTTAAGATTTGATGTAAGTGTTTTACAATTAATTATTGAACATTCATAATATAACATCGCCTAAATATTCTCAAATTGTTTGTCTTAGGTTGAAAAATCACTTCTTGATGATACTACATTACCAGATGAAATTATTATCCATGCACAACGTCCTTATCACGAAGTGAGACGTTATAATGAGCATTTGGTGAATGGATATAAATTTCGAACGTTAGAGACCGATGATAGGAGGGTAACTCAGAACAGTGGGGTCATGGGCTTGTTTGCTCAAGAATGTTTTTCAAGTATAAGAGATCAGAATCCAATTCTAGCTGACATATTATATTATGGCCAATTAGAAGATATCGTTGAGGTAATTTACGGGTTTGGTAAACCAAAACAATGTACTTACACGATGTTCAAGGTTCGGTGGTGTCCTGCAAAAAAGCAAAAGGATCATTATGGATTTACACTAGTCAATCTTCACCGAGAAGTATATACGGATGAGAAATTCATTTTCGCAGAACAAGCTGATCAGTGCTTCTATGTGAAAGATCCGAATGTCATGTATGATTGGGTGGTTTTGTACAAGGAGCCAAGATCTGTTGTTCTTCCTAATAACAATGAAAAAAATATTGAAGAAAGTGAAGATAATTATAGTGAACCAATCGGTTCATCTGATGATGTTTGGCAAGAATTCTCTTACGCACAGAATGTGACGCTGGATGTAGGTATGAACCTGATATGTTACACCACATTATCGATTTTTATCTTATCATAATAAAAACAATAATGCATTTCATAACAACATATCTCATGAGCATGTATACAATTTTTTCTTAACGATTGTCTTTATTATATTTGCAGATGAGGAGGAGGATGAGGAGGCTCTTTGACCTGGAGGGTGATCGCTCACGGAGTACTCTCATAAGTCCAAGGCTGACTCAAGGAAGTACTACCCACGTGCTGCGAGAAGGTTACAGGAAATGCTTCCTATGTTGGAGACTAGGAAAGCTGATGCACTCGCAGCAAAAGAAAGAGAGATAGGGAATGGTAAATTATATAAATACTTTTAATTTTCACATTTGTATATTATATGATATATTATCATGTTGTTATTATTGTAGGTGCTAAGTCAGATCACATAGAGGGACGGCGTGGCGGAGGTAAGCTTGATTCTAAA